TTGTAGTTGTCGAGGAGGTAGGTTGGTTGGTCGTAACTACTACTTTACTTTCTTACGCGTACGTACAATACTCTCTCTTACTTATATAATACTATTATTTCTTCTCTCTCTCTCTCTCTCTCTCTACCCCCCTCCTCTCTCTCTCTCTTACTGTGCCAGCCTTGATATTTATGGGCTGAATCGTGGCTTTTGGACATTTCATGGGAGGTGTTGAAGATGATGATCCACCCTTGAAACGATTAAAGATTTCCCCAAGAGACATAAGAAGCATATCAAAGGATTTGCCTCTGGCAGGGCCACTAGGCTCTGTTGGAGTCTTAATGGCCAGCTCTCCCACTGTTCATGGTGATGAGGAGACAGTTGGCTCCAAAGGAGTAATTAGAAGGGTGGAGCTTGTTCGAATAATCACAAAAGCTCTCTATTCCTTGGGTTATGAGAAGAGTGGTGCTCTCCTGGAGGAAGAGTCTGGAATACCGTTGCATTCTTCTCAAGTAAAGTTGTTTCGACAGCAAGTACTTGAAGGTAAATGGGATGAAAGTGTGAATACACTTAGGAAAATCGGTCAACTAGATGAAAACACTCTCAAATCCTCAATTTTCTTAATTTTGGAGCAAAAGCTCTTTGAGTTTCTAGCTAAGGGAAGCATTTCCGAGGCATTGAGGACACTGAGATCGGAGATTACCCCTCTCAATATAAACAGAAGGAGACTTCATGAGCTCGCTGCCTTTATAGTGTCACCTCCAAAACTTGAACTGGTGAGATCCATCAACCATTTAGGTTCAAATATGAACCCAAGATTCTATCTTCTTGAAGAATTGCAGAAATTGTTGCCACCCACTATCATGATTCCAGAAAGAAGATTGGAGCACCTATTGGAACAAGCTCTTAATGTGCAAAGGAAATCTTGTGTATTCCACAATGATCACTCTCTCTCTCTATACACAGATCACAGATGCGGAAGAGATCAAATACCGACAAAAACTGTACAGGTTAGAGCTCTTTCATGCTTTAGTTTTGTCTATATTAGCATGGCTTGATAGCTCATAAATAAGCCTTGTAGAATCAAGAAAAGCACTTCTTTCGGTTGGTCTGTGGGTAACGTGTTTTCTTATACTTTAGGGCCCAAAATCAGTGCTTTTGTCAGTTAGCACTTTTTCTAAGCAACTTGTTTTGGTTTTGTTATGAATCTTAGGATCCTTTATCTGATCAGCAGGAATAGAACTCGATATGGTTTGGACTTCTAGTGTCATGAGACTCATTCATTTTCAATGCATTTTTTTTTTTTTGAGAATTCATTTGTTTGCAATGCATTTGACAAGCATTTACCTGATCTGGAGATATTTGTACAAAAAGTAAGTTGTCATGGTTATTTTGTGGTGATTATATGTGACAGCCAGTTTTTCAATTAGTTTTATTGATGGGGTTTGAATAATTATAACTTTGTCAGAGTTGAAGTTTAAATTTCTCCTTGTCAACCATTATCTCAATTACTAGCACCTTTAAAAAAAAAAAGAACTAGATCCCTCAAGAAAAAAAAAAAAAGAAAAAAAGAAAAAAAAAGAAGAAGATAAAGGTGGATTACGACCATTTGATCAACAAACAAACTTGATGGATTTCTTATGAGTTTTTACTATTTTGCTACTCAGAATAGCTTGTATGTCATCGTGATACTCTTTCCATGAACTTCTTAAGAACTTAAAAGCCTTTTTGAATGATTATCCATAGTGCAAGGATTGATTTGCTTACTGACTGCGTGTCTTTTTGGAATTACTTTATCTATTGGGGTCTCAACATAGTTTCCTCCATACTGTTCATTCGCTGCATTACAGTCATTTGATCAACTTATGACGTATGCGGTCACTTAAAATTAGTACATTTTGCTGCTTTTTAAATCTTAGTTACTTCCATTGATTGAAGAAACATGACTGTGACTGGCACATAAATAGTGATGGGAGTGCAAACCACCTTTACTCCTAGAAAAAAAAATTTGAACTATCCTTTTTTTATTTTTTAAATTACTTTTCTTTGTTTTAAAGCAATATTGCTGCACATAACAGAGATAGAGTAGATCAAAGGGTGAGAATCCCAAGCATCCATTCCTTATGTAGTGACCTGAGCTGGTTAGGGAGCTTGTGTCACATCTGGAACACAATTTCCATTGATTATATGATCTGCATAATTTTTTCTAGCATTTCTCCTTGTTTCTAAGGGAGCGGGGGCAGCTTCACCTGCTCTCATTAACCAGTGAAGTGCAAAGGATAAAGTTTCCCATATCAGTAATTGTTATTTGTTGACTGAAGATGGTTTGCGATCCATCATCTACTCTCTGACCTAACTTCGAATGCAATTAAAAGAAAATCTACAAAGTCCATGATTGACAACTTATCATTACATTGACTTGCTTGCTATATTGTCCGCCATGTTGAAATGCTTTATCTCTATTAGGTTTTTTTGACATGTTTTCCCCATTGTGATCCATATTCTTGGATCACCTTACTTAATCAACTAGGTTACGAGATGATATCTATCATAAATCTATTTTTACTTTGCCTCCTATTGCAACTCATTGACCCTCCATGAAAATTTCCAACAGAAAATCCATAAGAACTTAATTCTTTAGTCCTTTTCTAGTGTATTTTCCTTCATTTGTATTAAATTCTTTCCAGGATTGTCAATATTTTATTCTCAACCCAATGATTGGATAATTTCAGTCTGTTGCTTTACACATAATAATCCTTTCATTCTGATGTTGTATTATACTTTGGAACATGGGCCGTTGATGCATGTCATTATGTTGGGTCTTTTACGTTCTAAAGTTTAACCTAGTTCTCTCATCACAGAGAGAAGTTTCATCCACTTTGTAAACTGATTCATGTTTTTGTTTAGCTCGAGTGCTCTATTGATTAATTGATCGGCATATGGTAAACTTGATGCATTTGCGTGTCTATACTTTTGGCTTGTTCATTCATTTTAATTGCTTGAAATACAGTTTAGAGGACCTTTTGTATCTTTGCTTGAAATACAGTTTAGAGGACGTTTTGTATCTTTGCTTACATGTATGTATTTACACACTGTATGTCCACCAACAATAACACATTATATGTTCATGCTGGCACGTGTTGAAAATGTATAACTAATGTTGCATATTTATAAAGGGATTGTATACTATGAGACCATTCATTTATTGGTACCAGGAGGTCACAATCACTTTTAGCCATTGGATGAGAAATCCAATAGATAAAGTGTCACAACATTCGAGAAATTTTATTTTGGATTTTGTGACCAAACAATGACACATCTCAACCGCCCGATTTCAAATCCAACGGTCAATGATGATTGTGTCCTTTTATCAAAAGTAAATAGTCTCATTGTGTACATTTCCATTTGTAAATACTAATTTATGTAAGAAATCATAGATAATATGCAGATATGCGTGGTTTTGTTTGTGACTGTGCATTGTTGCCTGGTCTGTTGCCTATGCATGCAAACATTCATTTGTACATGTGCACCAACACAGCAATGCACATGCATTTTTCGTGTGTACATGTCACATAGTTGATCTGCACATATATTAATTACCTACGTATAGATGCTCATGTATGCTTATGGTTTTCTTATTTGTCGAGAGAGATCGTGAGAGGTAGGAAGCTAATATGGTTTTGTGATAGCATGCATATGGTTTCATATACAAATATTTGTACTTGTAGAAATCTGTGTGTATTTTGTATGAATGCGTATGTGGGTGTGTGTCATGCATGTATGGACTTATAAAGATGTTCCTACAAAGACACATAAATAAAGTGATCTTATAGAACTAGGTAGTTAATAACACGAGAAAAAAGTAGTTCTAAGTACCAATATTATCAGGACCGAACTGGGTGGAGGAAGTGGTTCCGTTGGACTTGTTAAACAAGTCAAAATTTTTGAATTTAAAAAAATACAAATAAATTGAAAAAAGATGGAAAATTTATAGACAAATACCCTCAAGAGAACCCTTCACAAACTCATTACATTATCAAATAAACAATCAATAAATCAAATAATTATAGAGCAGGTCCACAAAAATGGAAAATTCAAAAGCTTTAGATAGTTCAAAGCCCTACACCACTACCTTTTACTCTGTTACCCCGAAGGCCAAAACCCACCACAAGGGATACCTTGTACAAACCCATCACGTTATGTAATGAACAATCTAGTGTATTCAAATAATCATATAAGAAGCCCACATTAACAATCCATAAACCTTACATTTTGTAATTTCTTTCAAATGCATAGAAAAAAAAAAAGAACTTTTCCAAAGTTGAGTCAACCAAAATAAAAATGTAGAGGTTGCTTACTTGAATCACTTACAAAGAATGGAGATCCAGTGGCTTGAAGCACTAAAAAAATCCATCGCTATGTGCTAGGTTTTGGGGTAGAGATAGGCAATTTAGATTTGGAAAAAAAAGCTGTTCCTCTCTCTAAAATTTTCGGCCTTCAAATCTCACCTGAAAGGTATTTTAGGCCAAGAAGTCCCTAAACATGTCTAAAAGGACAAAAGAGTATGGCCAAAATGGCTGGAAAAATATAAAAAATTTCATTTCCACCTAAATACACTTTGGACTGGCCTGTTCAGTCTGGACTGGTTTGACCTGCTGGTCCACCTGATCGAACTAGATTTTCCCTGGTTTTATCCTATTCTTGTGGCCATACTGGTCTAGAACCCCATGTTTGACCAGTATGACCACTGGTTTCTGGTCAGCGAGATTGGATTGGAGGTTCCGGTCTGGTCTGAATAGAACTAGTGAATATGCGTCTTAAAGTATATAACTTTTGAATTAAGCAACATGACATTGTTTCTTTTAATTCATCTTTAGTGTCCTGATTACTTTTTTATGTTCACTTGTTCAGAACTTTGAAAACTAACTACGGTAGACAATCTAGCTTGTGAATTGTGTTAGTGTGTTATTTCACATTATGTTTTTCATGCATATCATTCTTTTGCATGATTGAACCTTGATCTACTTGAATATGCTGTTGTTATGTTGCTTATCATCGAACTTTGTTAACAATAATTTCATTGCATTAGGGGATGCTCCTTACAAAGCACCTTATTGGTTTGCTTCCAATAAATTTTTTTAAATTTTTATAAAGTCATTATATTGGAAATAGCTTTCCTATTTATTTTTGAGCAGTGGGGGATGCATCAGATATTCAAGGCCTTATGAAACAAAGAGACAAATCATATCACTTCCTTTACACAAGGGCCCAAAAACTATTCATATAATTGAAGAGCAAGTAGCATGATCATAAAATCGTGGTGAATGGTTTCATCAATTTCGAAATATATCATGTATTTATTGCAACAAACAGGTAGCTTTTACTGCTTTCTGCAAAATTCTTTTGCTGTCAATCGAATGCATTATTGTTATGTTATAGGTTAATGCGTGACCTAGGTAGTTTTATGAAAAGGACTTCTTTTGACCTTGCTCATAAACTACTTGTTTTATATAAATTTTTAATTTTGTTTATTAATGGTCTTACTGGTTATGGCATAGGGTGTACAGGAAAGTAATTTTGAAATGTATTTAAAACCTCTAATGCAATCTGATGACAAGAAACTCATATAAAATGAATGGGTAAAACATGTAAAAAAAAAATTCAAAATGTTGTGAGTTTTGTCTCTTGGGGAAAATGTAAAAAGTCCAACATGGAGTTTGTCATGCTTGTAACTTTTGTTGTCTTTTTTCTTTTTTCCAAACATTGATTTTGTTATTTAATTTCCAAACAATCTTCCAAATTTTTTTGGCCAAATAAATCTTTAAATGGAGCAAACTTATAAGTCACACTATGAGCCACACTATGAAGCTTTGTGGGAGAGTGATTGAGCAATGACTAAGGCATGAAACAAGTGTATGAAAAAATCAATTTCGGTTTATGCCAGTTAGGTCAACAACTGAGGCTATTTTCCTACTTAAGCAACTGTTTGAGAAGTTTAGGGTGAAGAGAA